TTGTTTACAATTAAAATTCAGAAGAAAACCTAGTTATCTGCAACTGATTAGGAACAGGTACATAGCATACAGTAAATATTAGGAAATGTCCAGGAAAACACTTCCTCCTGGTAGCTAAGATGCAAAATGAAATTATTTTATTTCTAATTCAATACTTATCTGAAAAACCATGTATTATTGCTTGCCCGGATTTCCTCTGTGACTAAATTTGTAAAAACTATGCACTTAATTGATTAGTTTTATTTTCCACTGAATAATTCTCAGACCTATGTTACTTTATGTTTTTCTTATAAACTTTCCAACCTCAAAGAGATGTAAAAAGTCATCACAAGTATTTCTAAAGCAGCGTTATACACTTAGGCAACTAAATTGCCCCATGAGGACAATGAAAATAATGTTTCACCATTTGCATGGCCCTTGAAATGTGGTCCTCTCAATCGACTGCAAGAGCCTTGCCTCTTCACTCCTCCGACAATCCAACCTTGCTCTTGTTCGTCTCTCCCGCCTTCATCATGCTCTGAGATGCCTTGGCACCTCAGTTGCCTCAGACTTGAAAGGGTGAACATGGCACCTTCCTGAGATGATTGCAGAGCCAGTCTACATCACGTGGACTGAGTCATGTGGACTAAAAATGGCCACAAAAGAGACAGATTCCATGGCTTTTAGATCCTACTTTTTATCATAAGACCTCAGCCAATTGCCAAGTACTCCTCCAAGTACTCGTGGAAGTCTGCAAAGGGTGACTTGCATGGGAGCCTATACTACTCCTCGCTGATGCCCCCCTACTGATGCAGGCAGGATGGGATCAATGCTGTGCTCACTCAGTCCTGCTCTCTAAAGGCTAACCCCGGAACAATTTTCACATGAGTTCCACATCAAGTCCTTGGGTAGTAAGTGACCCCTGTGTGACTGGGCTCTGTACAGCACCTTTCCACAACACACACAAACATAACCACACATACACACACACACACACACACACACACGGTCATACACACACAGACATCAGTGTACACACAACCACAGCCACACACACACACACACACACACATCACTGCAAATGTGCTTTTACCAAGTGTGAAAGCATACTCTTCATCTCTGAGTTCTACTCTCTAAGTACAAGAGTCCTACAATAGATATGCCAGACCAAGATGTTCTTTCACTACCTTCTAGAAGTTTTTCCCTTGTTTTTTGTTGTTGTTTCTCTAAGATGCACATCAACTATCAGGATCTCTAGGTTTGATGAATTTTCCAATACTTATCTCTGCACCAGACAATTTTCAGCCATCTCCATAGCAATCTCTCAGTAAAGGCTCCACCTTGTTTTGCCATCTGGATTCTTTAATCACCTCCCACACCACAAGGCCCTGCAATGCTGGGATGAGAAACAATCACGCCAGTCACCATATAAATCAGCCATCACAGGCCAGTTGTGTAAGAGAAGGAACCCACCCAACGATCCTCACCCCCACTGGGATTACTCCATCCCAGACCTCCACTTAAACACCTTGTTTATATAATTATCAGCTAGCGCTTGCAATAAAATGTAAGAATAGGTAACGGCCTCAACAAATACATAAAAGGAATTACAAGACAAGGAAAACATTAATTGTCTTGCACTTGGACATACATTATTAGGCCCCATCTTAACCATAAGAGGCTCAAATTATTTAGCCCAATTTTAAATGGAAGTCCAAGATCATATAAATATTAGAACTGAAGATGAAAGCAATGAGATTTTTCTTTCATATAATACAAGCTGGTATGTATGAGGGTTTCTCAATACAATGAACATTAGAACATCTTAAGCATTGGCCCAAAAATGTGCCTTAGAATCCTTTTTCCCTATAGTGCGTACTGCATTTAATCAGCACCTACTTTGTGTTACACTCTTTACAATAACTCGTCCTGAGCCCCAAACAATGCACAGAAGTACATCTGATTCTCTGTGGATTGCAGATGAAAGAACCAATGTTGGGGAAGTTAAGTGACTTGCCTACAGTCCAACACCCCATCAGTGGGAAGCCCACAGCTCAACACGAGATCTGACACCAAAGCGTGGCCTGTTTCCCCATAGGAATCTGTCCATAAGCTCACACTGAAGTATATGATTCTTTCACTATTATTTAGGCCATCAGCTTAGATTGATTTTCACATAACTTAAGACACAGAGACTAGGATAAAAAATAGGTTCATAGCTTTTCGTTAGTAAAAGGGAATGAGGGTCACAATTATGAAAGGCTTGAATTCTCAGGGATGTGCTTACTCTTTCCTGACACTGAGGAGTCCTAAAAAGGAAGGCTTAGATTCTTTTCCCCATACACTCCAGACACTTTGCTGGCCCTCTGCATGACAATCTCGTAACTTTACAGCAGGCAAGCATTCCACTCCTCAGCTTACCTCTTACAGAAAGAATGAGGATCCAGACTGTACCAGTCACATTCCCCTTTTGAGTATATGTTCGTGATACATAATTACATTCATCTTGGGAAACTGGTATATATAAATATTACATCTTAATTATTTGTATCTCTTCTTATACTCAGCCTTCCCATCTCTTCCTATCTCTAAATCCCCTTCCTAAAGGAAGCTATGTACCTGTTCTTGAAAGCACGTGGTGAACTGAAATGGAGAAGAGGGGTGTTGAACTGCTCTTTTGTCAGGACATGCATTCAAAAATGATTTAAAAGAAACATTAATAGGCAAAGGCAGAGTCCTGTGTCCTGTTTCCTCTCCATATCCTTTGAGAACACTGTCTTCCTAAAGACTGAGGCACTGCTAATACATCAGTGAAGAAGTGAAGCCCAGCTCCGGTGGTGTCCGCCTGAGAATCTCTATTAGTTATCTATTGTTACCCTCAAAAGTTATCACAAATTTGTTGACCCAAAACATCAGAAATGGACTGTCTCATTGTCCTAAATGCCAGAACTCTGAAATGAATGTGTTGTCGGGAATGGTTCCTTCTTGAGGCTGTTGGGGGAACTCCATTCCCTACTTCGCCTCTAGCTTCTGGTGAGTGTGTTAGTCCTTGGCATTTCTTTGTTTATAGAAGCATCACTTTAATCTCTGTGTCCATCTTCACATGATGAAATGGTTAATCTTGATTGTAAACTTGACTGGCTGGAGAGAAGTCTAGGAGATTAGTAAAGTACACTTGTGAGTGTGTCTGGGTGAGTCACAGAGGTACAATCTTGGCCCTATATCTGGTCACTGGTCCTTGCCTCTGGGACACCCTTTCCAGCCCACTCTGCTTCCTGCCTGCCATGAGATGAGTAGTCCCATGGACTGAACCTCTGGAACCATGAGCAAAGGTGTCAAGTGTTTTGTTCCAGCAATGGGAAAGCTAACCAATGTACATGGCCTTTTCCTCTCTGTGTGTGTCTCAAATCTCTCTCTCACTCCTTTCTCTTGAAAGGATACTAGTCATTGGACTGAGGGGTCCAACCTAAATCCAGGATGATCATATCTACTGGTAAAGTTTCTATTAATTTTAACTTAATTATATCCTCAAAGACCCTATTTTTAAATTAAGTCTCCTTCAAAAGTATTGGGACTAGGATCAGGAGGTTTTTGTTTATTTGTTTTGTTTTTTGTACCAGGGATTGAACTCGGGTCCTTGCACTTGCGAGGCAGGCAGCAGAACCACTGAGCCAAATCCCCAGCCCCAGGAGATAGATAGATAGATAGATAGATAGATAGATAGATAGATAGATAGATAGCTAGCTAGATAGATAGATTTTCTTTTTTTTTTTTTGGTACCGGGGATTGAACTTAGGTCCTTGTGCTTGCAAGGCAGGTGGCAGTACCACTGAGCTAAATCCCCAGCCCCCCAGGATATATTTTTTGAAGACACAATTCAACCCATTAGTGGAATGTTAGGAAATCACTAATTTGGGTCAGTTAAATGACAAAGTTCATAATATGTTTGGGATCTTCAGATCTAAGTGACACAAAGGAAAAAAATTAAACCTGGTTATGGAATTTCCATGCACCAAATTAGAGAACATCACCTATCCAACTAAGTTACTCTTTCACTTTGGAATTTGAAAATATTACTACTCGAAATCTGCTGTGTAAAAGACATTGAGAAACGTCTTTTTCACCTGCTGAAATGATTTGCTTTTTAGCCTGAGTCAGTTTACACTGAACAAAAACCAGCAACAACAACCACCCACACACACACACACACACACACAAAAGTGGAGCTATACCTGAAAAATTCTAGTATTTTTCTTTCTTTCTTTTTTTTTTTTTTTGTTTTTTTTT